GGAAAGAAGAAGCCTGAAAAAATCAGGGCTTCAACGGGATTCGAACCCGTGACCTCTGCGATACCGGTATCGCGGAGGTCACGGGTTCGAATCCCGTTATTTATGACCCAGTGTAATGTAATATATAATATTATCGAGAAGTTGTTATTTATAGGCTTTGATTGTGGTGGAAAAAACAGACTGATGCACAGTAACTTTTAAAGAAACTGTCAAAGAAAAAAGCTCAGATAAAAGATTAAACCAATGTTAGCTAGAAAACAAAATCATATTAAAATTCAAATATTTATCACCATTTTCTAGTAAATTCTCAAGGGGCCTACACAGGCTACCTCCTGGATAGAGGTTTTTCTGACATAAGTGAAATAAAATGAGGAACCCTCTGACATGCTCTAGAGTGAAGGAAAAAGACGAACCTTCTGATGTTGTCTAGAGTGAAGGGAGATGACAGCCCCTGAGAATTGGGTTGATTTCAATGCAAGATTAAGGAACGTTATTATCTTATTACTATTATTATGGTGATAAAAATGTTTGGAAATTTATATGATCAAATTTAAAAGGAAAGCAGGGCTTTCTAAAACATACTCAGAATTTGTTGTTTTTACAAACCACATACATGCATGATAGGTAGGAAATTTGTTGAAATATTTTATTGTCAAGTTTCATCACATTACAATGCCTTTAGCTGTAATGGTTGAGATAAGTGACTACAAATTCCCACACAACCAAAGGAATAAATAAAGACATGAAATTTGCCACAAAGAAACAAAAATTTCCTCACAATCATTGGTTCTAAACTAGCATTCAGGTATACATTTACTGAACTCTGAAAAAATTATGAACTTTTCACTCAAATTTGAAATGACACATCTATTCACTGGCCACTAGGACTAATGCATACGAGACTTGGAGCATTAAATAAGTTTAGCTAGTCAACTGGTTTTCACGGGCAAGCAAAACTATTTGACCTGAAGTTCTTTATGATAAAACTTTCCGCTAGATGGTCAAACCAGCCACTTGAAATCATCCTCATAGCCAGTCAATTTACCCAGTGCCCAGCCCTTAATGAAACCCCTGAGATTGGAGTAAAGAAACCTTCTTTGCAGGGAAGGGTTGCATGGCTTGTTCTTTTCTCATTATGAGAAAGTGATGTCACATGTAACATGTACATCACATCTTGCATTGTAGAATAGTATTTAAGACATTGGACAGATAAATCATTAAAAGAAAAGCAAAACATGTCAACTGTGGTGGTTTCAATTTTATACTACCTTAGTTTAAATAACATTTGCAAGTGAAGAGCATTCCTAAAAACTCACCTAATGTATTCAATGCATTTTTTTCATTTCATTTATTTGCATGTATAAAAGAGACAAATTAACTTAAATGAAACACACAAGATGCCCACCATTTTCAATGTCAGACATATTTTTCAAACTTAGCTTACATTGAAAAGTAGATTTATTTTTGTGAGATTTACGCATACATGTTATCACCCAAATGACTTACACCTTAAGGATGGTCCTTCTCAAGCTATCTTTACTGAACTGTTGTGACCTAAAAGTTTATTTTAGTATCTCTGGAGTTGTTTGCATGATGCTAGCAGACAGGTCAGACATTAAATTCAGTTTCATGTACTTAAGTAGCAGTCAGGATTTTACTTGAAAGACCTTTGTTCTCCCATTTATGGCTCAGCTGCCAAAATCAAAGCACTTAGCGGCAGAAAATTCCTGCCAGCTATGCAGGCAAAGTTTTCAAAATTGCAAAGTTGCTTTCATGAACACTGTCACATTTATTTTGGAAATCCACTATGACTTAATAAAGTTATGTCCTACGTTGTGCCACATTTGACACACCAATTTCCTTGTCAAATCTCTTTGCTGTCAACTTGTATTAACTCTGGATCTGTGAAACTCTTTCCATTTGACAAATTGTCTCTATGCCGTAGAGTTTTTCTGGCCATGTTAAGGGCTCCTTCTTGTGTCTCATTTCCTCCAATGAATCCACTAGCATGAACAAATATACACCCCTTGATTCCACTCAGTGCACTGAGTGCTTCATCTCTTACACCACGCCATTCTTCTAACAAGCTAAGTCTGAGGAAGGGAAACAACAAACTTGTTGAAAAGTTGACTTCCAAAAGAGTGCTTATTATGCACATAAAATATTTATTAATCCTTAAAGTTTCTTTCAAAATGTATCTTGCATTACAAAGGAGTCAAGCGACAAACATTAAAATAAAATTTATTCTCTCTTGCACTTACCTGTTTTCAAAGGCATCAGGACGAACGGAGACACACTAAAACAAGAAAATTAAGTATACAAAATAAATATTTCTTGTTGGCATACTCAAGGTTGTCAAAAGTAGCTAGCTACATGCGAAAGTCACCGTGATAATTGTATTTACTTCATATGATATGCCCAGTTACTCAGCCAGGCTATTCTACTGATTTTTTAAAACAAGATGGCAAAATCAATCACCCACTCCGACAAAACTCAGTGACAACCCTGACTTATTTTAAATAATGCACAGTAACATCCTGAGCGATGTGCCGGTACTTCATTATATACGATATAGGCATGGGTCTTGAGCTGAATTAGTTTGAATTGGGGTGATGATTATTCTTCTTGGGCCATAACTCATGGATAGTAAATATATAAACTTAAATTAAAGTTCACCTGTACTCTCCACTTGTTGTTTTGGTCTGAATATATGACAAACTTAATAGGCACTTCAATTTTCAAGTCCTTCTCCAGTTCAAACAAATGTTCTTTCCAAGGACAACCACCACCCTCAAGCTCAATAATCTCTCCACTTGGATCGACCTTAGACAAAAAAAAATCCAAGTCAAGGATGTACAAAAGGCTGAAAACTTTCTTTTGAGCCACTAGTTAAGCAAGAAAAAACTTCCATTTTTTGCACAAAGTCTGTTGTTTTGCCTATAATAATTAATGAAATCCTCTCAGTACAATGAACTTGTCATGATTTTACTATTAGTTATTCAGACAAATTTCACACATTGTGATCACTGCATAGCACTCATGCAAGACTTACCTCTTTCCTTTTGATTATCGCAGCCTCCACCAAACTTCTTGCTGGAAGCCAGGAGTCACGGTAATAACAAATTCTATTAAGCAGCTCTTCTCCAACTAAATTCACAGCCTTTTTAAACTGTGTCTGTAGTGAAAAATTAATAATAACATCAAAAATTGAAGAATTTAAATGTACATGTACAGTATTTCAAACTGTCAGGGATTTCAAATTTTTAAAAATTTTGGAAATGTTACATTGAGGAAACTATGTCAAATTAATCAGGCTTGTAAAAGCTCGTAAAAATTACTGCCTACTTATATGATCTTGGCTGGCTACCACCTCTGCTGGGTTATTCATCTGATTCTTTAGAAAAAGATGACTCACAGTAACTTCTGTGTTTACGCTAAATAATTTTTGTTCACATAGCCTACATCGTTTAAAGTGAACCAAAACCTTAACTTGCTAGCTAATGAGGGGTCTGTAACTCAGGGTCCATATCCTGAAAAACTACTTGACATAATATTAGCCAAAACTATTCTAAGATTCAGGATTCCAGACTTCTGAAATGTTTGAGAAAAAAAATAGCTCATTTATTATTTAGTTTGGCAATAATTTTTATGTGTTGAGACTATCAAAAATGAACCTCAGCATCTGGATTTGGATCATTCCACCGTGGATTCAGCCGAGACACACGAGAGCTGAGGTTTGTAGTTATGCTGTACCTGGCAACAACAAAAAAAAGCCATATCAAAAAAAATTAACTACTGCTCAGTTTATTCAGCATTGGCAAAAAGCGACATGTTAGGATGCTATAGGGCAGTTGTAGACTGTATACCCCCTACAAATGGGATGACAGCCCAAACCCATTCAACCACAGGTTACTCCCAGGCTACAAGGGCCCCACCACCCCCTATATACCCCTGTCTCCACCCCCCTATAGGTCTCTCAGTAAGTGTAGTAAAACCCTAGACTGGTCAATCACTGCCTCAATCATACACAAATAGCAAGTAGTTCACATACCGTGGTTCCTCATCACTTTGACTGATTCCATTGTCAATAGCATCAATTTCCTGAATAAAATTTTCATAAATTTTGTTGTAAATTTTATTGGTGACATCGTCGTCTTCTTTGGTCTTAAGGACTTGTGAGATCACCCGATGTCCAAAATGGAGGTAAATGAGCCCTGCGCTGCTGAGCTTTGTCACCCATGGCTTGCCTGGACTGAGTGTCTTCATGCATCCTGTAAAGCTCCTAGTAGGAAAATAAAAGAATGAACACTGAAGAAACTACCCATTACATGATCAAGAGAGTGAATAGAACATTATTTGCACCTACTGTAGGGGATATGCACTGGAAGGGAAACTCCAGTGGAAATTAGTTTTGATTTGAACACAATAAGTCATACCAAGCCAAGGACTTTAACCCCTTACAGCTATGACAATCATCCCTACCCTCTCACGTTTTTGGAGGGTCCCCCACCTGGCCTGAGGAACAAAGTTTGACCAGGGTAAGGGATTAACATTTGTAGCTTGGTACCAGTTAGGCTCTTCAGATCGATAATGATCACAATGAGAGTTATACCTCTATCTAAGAATATCAAACAAGAAGAAATATGGCAGGAACACCTTCAGTCCCTTTTAGGCCAGGGGTGAGAATGAATTTGAGCTAAGCCTATAAAACAAGATTCTGGTATCTTTAAGGTGTTAGTTTTCAAAATTTGTGATGGATACCACTATCAATTTTAAATGGATGCCTATATGAAGTGTTAAGAAAAAACATTTTAATCATACAGTTCAAAGAGTGATCAACAGGTAACTCTTAAAAACATCCACACAAAGGAAGGCAATATGCAGGTCATGCAACTAAAGCAAATCACCAGGAAGGGGAAATTTTACTTCAAATTTTTTCAGTCTCTCTATCTCTTCAATGACTGACAGTTTCACATCTACATACCGTTGATGATGGTCATAACGATGTTTATCGGCTTCATAAACACCACCAACATCGACAACAATATCACACTTTGCCAGCTCCTCTTGATTTCTAGTCCGCACAATATCAGCAAGTCTGTATTCTGGTAGCTGTTTCAGCATAAAGCATGCTAAGGCTTCATCGCAGTGGAAAGTTCCATTGTGTGTACCTATCTTTGGGGAAATTAATGCCTTCTTTGCTTCTGGAGTGTCACTATCATTTTTCAGTTCTAACTCTGCCATAACAGCAAACCAGCTAGACCCTGCACAATATCCTAAACAAACCATTAATAAACACTAATTATTGAACAATATAGGATTAATAGGCAGATACTTAAGCAGAGAGCATCACTTCACAGGACTAGGTAGCTCCCAAATAAAAGTTGACTGGTTAACCCCAGTACTTTCTTGAATAAATAACTTGAAAGGTAAGACTTGAGCTACATAATTTATTGTACATGCATGTAACTCTGAGCCAATGTTCGTAATCTTATGCTGTGTTCACATTAAAGCCGAAACATGATTAGAGTACACATGTTTCAAGGAAGCATGTTTCGCCTAAACATGCTTGTCATTGCATTGTTCACATCAGATGTCAGTTTCATGGTTGTATAATTTATGCTGTTTCATGGTACTCACATAAATTTTTTACACGTATCCAGATATTTTTAAATCCGCAACTTTTTCTTTCCGGATACAGTTTCTGTCCACATGCATCCAGCAAATTCAGCAGCGAATCCAGATAATTTTGAATCTGCTTTCCAGAGTGGAAAAATAAATCCAATGACGTGTGGACAGCGAATCTGGATATTTTCAAATCCGATGACGTAGCAAAATCATGTCCAGTCTCTTACAGAACAATAAATCAATATAGCGGCACAACGTGTAGGCCTAGTTTCTCTAGAGTGAATCCAGATACCATGAGATGTGTGTGGACAGGCGAATTCGATTTGAATACTCTACGCATGCACGGAGAAATTTTTGAATCCGGAAAGAAAAAGTTGTGGATTAAAAAATATCCAGATACGTGTGGACAGGGCCTAAGTTTTGTGGCACTGTTCTCCCAATTATTCTGCTTTCTACCCATCACCGATAATTGCCGTTGTATTTCTTCATTGGCCCATATTTCAACTAGACATTTGCCCTCATAAAATTATAACCCCAATTTTGGTTCTTTTGGACACTCGCCTCCTCTCCGCATCCATCCACCATTTTGAACGTGTTGGGTCTGATCATGATTGAATCATTCTCAGAATAATCATGTTTCAACCATGATTCGTGCAATCCACTTTCTGATCCCGGGGAGGGGGGGAAAGGTACTTCCAGAAAAATTGAGTGGGGGTGTGCGGCCCACTTCCCAAAACCCTTACCCTATTTATGACCAAAATCAGCTAAAATCTATACCCTATTTATGACCAAAACGGCCGAAAAACCATAGCCTTTAGGTCCGCACATACCTATATAGCCCATATAAGGGAGTACCCCCCACCCCCGGGGGTCTGATGTGAACACTTTGCGTAAAAAAACACGTTTCATTCGTGATCAGACTAATCATGTTTCGGCCTAGTGTCAGCACAGCTTTAGAAATACATGTGACAACCAGCAGTATAACTTCATATTTAACTCAGCATTGCTGGGTCTCTTTTATGTTAGCAAGAGTTCCATAATTTTCAGAAAAGTTTACGACGTCTACTGATGCAGATCAAACAGATCAGACAGATTTCCTCTTTTCAAGCTTAAGACAATTTATTCATGCATGTTATGAATTCCCGGCATTTGCCCTCTGCTCACTATGGTAAAACGAAGTCAGATGTAAGCTTAGGTAATATTTCCTTCCCCTGCGTCACAACGAAAGATCAAATTTTTTTACCACGATTGATGAATCGAAACCCACTGCATACGTAACACGTGCTCTATTTTCTGCATGTACTAGCTCCAGACTGTCTCACAAAAAAGGTCCAAAAACGGATTCATTATGTTTTATGAATCGTTCGAACCTTTCGTCTGAGCCTAATATCCTCGCTGAACGTTTCAAAATAATTCACAAAAGAGAACTTACCTCTACAGAAGAACTCTCTCAACCCCCTGCGGACTCCACTGTGTAACACGCGCGAAAAGAACGCCGTGGTGACTCTAGATCCCGGCTCTAGATATCAAATACGTGCGTCGTCAACCATCGAACGTACGAGACAAAGTATAACCTTGTAGGGTAGGGTGAGGTTACTTTGTCATCAAAGCCTAGCCCGAGAAGGAAACCAGTTAAGGCGGTGGTTAACATGAAGGCCATATTTTTGCTGGGTATTATGGTTTGAATGCAANGAAATTGGTAGACGTACACCAAACAGTTGCCCACCAACCTGGGGTGCCCTTTTGGGGGCAATCAACTGTCAGGTGGTGTTCCAAACCCCTTTTTATCCTTTTAATCCCTCTTTAAACTTCCTAAAATTTGACTTAAATTCATGTGTACCCCCGCCTTAAGAAGAGCGAAGCCTTCCTGCTTTAGATCCCTTTTGCTTAGAAAAAAAGCCTCAACTTTCAAATTTGCCTGTACCAATTTTGAAAAATATAAACAACTTTGTTAGCAGCAAGGGCTTCTGGAGATATGAAGTATTGTAAGAACCGTGCAAAAAACATATATCATGCCCACTGAGGCAGAATAATATAGTATAACTAAATAATACAACTAAGAAAAAAAAAATAGAAACAAAGAAACGGCTGTGGACGAAATCTCCTTTAAAAAACTTGCAAAAATTGTATTACCTCCTCCCCGGCGGGGAATCGAACCCCGGTCTCCCGCGTGACAGGCGGGGATACTCACCACTATACTACCGAGGATTGGGATGAAGCAGGAGGGACTCTTGGTAGTATCATTTTTTTGTAGGGTAAGGAGACAAACTTAATCTACGAAGGATCAGGCGTGGATGATCTCTAGAGGAACCCTGTTAATAAAAATCATGACAATTTATCCTAATAAAAGGTAAAAACGATTCATTTTATTCACAGCAGTGTAATCGTTATTGACTTGTTGTTTTGATGTCGCCCCGGTGCAATATCACGCAAAGCCTCGCTTTCAAGAGTCGCAATTTCACGCTGCATACTTCGCCTAGGTAACCAATCAGGGTGCGAGAATTCTCTGAGCTATGCGATTCTAGTAACAATATGTTAGGGCAAAAGTGAGTGAACGATGTTTTTGCCTTTTATGGCGCCACTGAGGAGTTTACTGAATTTGTAAAAGGTGAGGATACTGAAATGCGATTATAATAACAAAACACTTATGTGTTGTCGCCCGAACTCTGTCACTGTATTGAAATGACTGAAAAATACATTGTCTTAAAAAGTTTTGTAAACGCAATACTTTGAGGTGCATTTCACTTTAAACAGCGCATGAACAAATCATGATTTTTTTTTGAAGATAAATTCTAGGAAAAGTTACATTCATTTTTCAGTAAACAAAGTAAAACGTGTCGTCCCCGGGTGGGTTTGAACCTCCAACCTTTCAGTTAACAGCCGAACGCGCTAACCGATTGCGCCACGGAGACTTCCTTAAAGCGAGCGCCATTCACTCTAAGGGACATTTTCTCTTAATCACTGTAGCACGACTGATCGTTTCTGGGTTTATCAAATTTTGTTGCGTTGCTGAAACATGTGCAATAAGTTGTTCCTATAACCGTATATTGCTTTCCTGACGTGGCAAACAAGAATCAGCCGTCTTGGACGGCAATTGTATTGCAAATAAGACGAAGCAAAACGGGTGTTTAACAACCGGCTAATCAGCTGGAGTGACACCGCTGAGATTAAGGCCTTTGCCAAAAGAGATTTTTGGAAGGTCTGGCCTGTTGGTCAAGTGGCATGATTCTCGCTTAGGGCGACTCTCGGACAGGCCCAGTTACTTTTTTACGGCCAGGAGCCATTTCTGGGGTAGGTTAGTTTGCTGAAACGTTCTTAGGGGACAGTCACTTTAAAAGTTAGGATTACCGTAGTGGCGACACCACTTTTTTTTTACATATAGACACTTAAAGAATTTCGACCTCGCCTACCAGGGACACGTCGGGACTTGTGGAGCATGCAGTTCCTTTACTACGAGCAGATTCCAGAACTAAGGTTTGCTTATATCCGGCGCCAGATCGCCGGACGTTCAGAAACAACTCTCCCCATTCTCTTGAAATTCAAAAACCTAGAGCACCAACTCTTTGCTCGGTCAGCTAGGACAACTATTTTTCACATAAAAAAACAAAACAAAACAAAACAACCAGAAAAACCGTACTCTCAAAAGTAACATTAACTAAAACGCTAAAAAGTGCTAGGCAATCATTCAGTGGAGAATTGACACCAAGCCAAGGACTCTCTCAAAGTCCTTCGCGGTTTTTGGTAGTTCCGGCTCGAAGGACTAACACGCGCTCCTCTTTCTCGCGCTTTTACAGCCCGGGTGTTTAGCACCGCAGAAATTTTCTCGCTCCGAGCCCGACTTTCACAGCTGTTCTTGTAAGTCAAACAAGTCTAGTGAGAGGAACGTAAAAGATTTGCAACGTTTATTCACTTCTTATAAATTTTACTTTTTTCTCACTCCAAAATATCATGTCTCTTTTCTTTACGGACATTTGTTTCCCTCCATTACGCTAATTGCCGTTCTTTTTAAATGGCTGCTAATTTTCTTTTCAGTGGAAACCTAATCTCAAGGAAATTCCCCACCGAATCTTAGATTGAAACGGACGAAAGAAGGCGGAAGGGGATGCTCTTTTCCTCTGAGGTTTAGGTTCGAATCCCCTTTCGCTCTCCAGTTTTTGCACTTGCTAGGCAGATTAGAGATTTTTCGTATCGAAAGGCAAATTTAGTCGATAGAGATGGGTAAGGAGAACTTGTCTAAGAAGAGGGACGAGGAAAGGGGAGAGGGATTGAGTAGGAAAGGGGGTTGTAACTGTGGGGTACGTTGGATGTTATTCCCTTTCTACCTGTGACAACCGAGAATGTACTACAGTATTTGTATTTCCTAAATCATCGCTCAGGAATTTGGGGGTTTATATACAGATGCGCCTCGAATCGAGCGTTATATCCCCACTCAGTGAACAAAGCGGTTGAACAAGTTCTTCTGAAGATGTGATCCAATTGCTCTACTCAAAACTTGATCAAGTGTTTGACGTTACACTAAATTAGCTACTCTTTTCCTCTTTCTCTGTCTTCTCGATATCGTTTATCAAGCTTGCTATCTCATGAGCCAAGTTCTTAGTTTTGTTTATATCGGTCTCGCCTTTGTCAGGCTTCATTATCATCTGCCTTCGGTGAGCTGGCTGAAGCGGAAGATTCAGAGGTATTCCTTCTAGCATGGCGACCTGCTGAAGATTACGTGACTCTGCCAGTAAGCGGCCTGCCTCCTGCATGATCCTGGACCGGCGTATGGCGTGTGCTTCCTCGATCTGCGCCCGCCTGGCCTCCAGCACTTGGTGGTTGGCTTCGGAGAACACCCGCCGCACTTTGGCTTGTTCTGCTGCGCTCATGGTGTCATAACCTGTTGGGAGCAAATGCCAAAACGCTCAGTCAACGAGCTAGCTTTGTAAGAGTTATACTGGGGGGTGAGGGAAGCTCACGATGCATCTGACTTCTCCGACCATAAGACCTAGAGCAGTCTTTTGATGGAGAGCGAAAGATGCGAAGTGGATCTTCGAGAGACAATTAATCGACATCGAACGTTTATTTCTACCAAACCATCCTGCAGCTTCATATCAAAGGAAAGCAGATACATCAGTCACTGGGTGATCAGTCATAAAACTGACGAAACCCTCTGTCCGATAATAAATCGATCCCGCGGTTTTCGTCATAGACGTTGCTTAGCAACATTCTAAACTCTTGTGACGTCATACTGACGTTTCAATTGCTGACTGAGTTGAAAGCCGTTGGAGCGCTTCTTCTAAATTTTCCCACATCCGACTGTTTATGTATGCAGCAATATGGAAGCCAGCACACGGAATTAACCCCTTCTCCTGGTACTACCTGAAATATATGTCAGCCATCGAGATAAAAAGCGTTGGATTTTGAGAAGCCATTCCTTCATGTGAGAGTTCCACCGATGACAGACAATAAGCAAAATACAACGGACTTTACAACGCCTTGATGTAAAACACATAAAGACACAAATGGTTTAACAATTCCCGCAGGCGCTACTGTAGAATCCTGGCTCTTTTTGTTCAATGCGAAAAAAACATAGAACACTCCGAAAGTTGTGACGTCAGCTGGGGTTTCTCTGGGAAACAAACCTTTGACAAGTGGCCCACAGTCGCACTGAGGACAAGATCCGGGAACCTTAACAATCCTACACAGGGAGGGGCACTCTGGTAAAACGTTTGGACACTCTGCAACAGGACAGCACAGGTACAGTAACACAACTTACAAATCTCTTTAAGACAAGTCCCAAATTAATTCAGTGTTTTGGATCATAAGGTGGACAAGATTTGTCATCTTTCCTTCTTCAAATTTGATGTCGTGTTTGAATAATCTAGTAAGCTTAAAGTATAGACAATAGTGTAAATTAAGAAAGACCATGTTGAAAAATTTAGCCGTAATTTTGTCAAGTTCGATGTTCATTATTCGGTGTAACCAAGCATTCTAAGGTTTCTCTACCTCAGTAGCTTACCTTTTTGAGTTTCACTTTAATTCGAGGTTAATTGAGTACATCACAAGATTAATACTTAACACGTGTTAAGTATTATTTTAGAGAGCTTAGATATACGAATTTCCTCTACACAGGAGCGAGCTTGAAATAATATTTCTATAGATAAGTTATGACATTTCCTTTAAGACGAAGGTTCTTAACGAGACAATTTTATTTACCTTTTCTCTCAAATTATCATTTTTTTTTTATATCAGTTATTATCGTAGATAATAGTTAGCTATCAGTAAAGTTAAACACTGTAAAGCCCTAAATGGACACTTAAGAAGCCAGAAGTAACCTTTTCCAAATAGTTATGATATTATTACGATCATTATTTATTATGAACCAC